AACTCTTCCCAGAAACTGACTGCGACCGGAGCCACACGGCATGCGGCTTGATGAAGACGAAGGCGGTGTGGGTCTTGGATCCGGCCTGCCAAGATACCGGAGACTTCTCGCAGTTGTGCCGAGGGATCGGGGGCTTTTAGGCCTTAGGCCTATAGGATTACGCTTTGAGAGGCTTTCAGAGGCACGGAGGCCCAGCCCCAGACTTCAAGCTCTGGATCAAGCGGGTTTAGGGCACACGGGTATTCACATTTCAGACGCTGCTGCCGAAGAACAACGACAGGAAGAAGAAGAAGAAGAAGAAGAAGAAGAAGAGGAGGAGGCCTCAACGATCTCTGCACTGAGGCACTCTCCCGTGGTCTTCATGATGATGTTGGTGACCTTCCGACAGTGTTGACCGTGGGCTGTGGAAGAAAGGAGGGCAAAGACAAAATGAGCTTCTCAGAGGCGTGGCCGGAGATGCTGCAAACATCAAGCAAGAAGCGAGCAGCTTGCATATGGCCACGAAATTAAGTAAAGCGCGAGGCTGGAAACTCGCACAAGCCATGGAAAGATGGAAAAAGAGGCGCTCCGAAACCTCGACAAGGACCGCGATACGCAAAACCGCCAAAATTCCCGACATGTCCCCTCTCGGCAAGAAGGCCAAACTCCCACCAAACTCCCGTCCGAACCCCGAAGCGGCCTTCAACGCAGAAGCCCAGAAGCCGAAGAACCTTGCAGCCACTGATGGCAGCTCGGGGCCCCGACCCGGTAAGGATCGCAGTTGGCCGCCGGGCGGCGGTCCTCCATGTAGCCGCGGCCTGCCTTTGGGCAGAGATACTTTTCCATCGGGGCTTACACTTGCAGTTCAGTACATGGACCTGCATGCAAGAGCACCCCAGAAAAAGATCAAGAAAGAAGCAGAGCTCTCCGTGGACAGAGCCTTCTCGGCATCGCGGGGGATACGGATGGACGCACCACGGTTGGCGACGCCATACCTGGCAGTTTGAGTGCAGCTCTGCACGTTTAAGACAGCGAAGTGTCTTCTGCACTTCAGAAGAGCGATTGAGAAGCTCTGAGTCAAGGCATGGTAGCCCTCAACAACCTCGATGCGACACTTCGAACCTGAGCATGGGGCTGGTGATTGCAGAGATCCGGCCTTGCCTCCAACAACCCTTTAAAGCTCCTTCAAGCCGACAAACCAAGCCCTCGAACCCCTTTCAACCCCTCCCCCCTCCCCCTCCCCCCGAGGTGCTTGAAGGTGTTGATGTCGCAGGTCTCGTGCTTTCCCGTGAGGCGCTTGTCGTTGCCCTCACCTGAGGTCGTCTGGCGGCCAAGCTTCCCGCAGCTGAACACCATCCCTACGCCCTACACGGCCACCAAAACCCCCACACCGACCCCAAAACATCCGTTTGCTGCTCCGGCGGCCATACTCGGCAATGTGATCCTTGGCCACCTTGCCGAAGGCCTGAGAGCCAAGTTTGGCAGCTCGGGAGTCCAATTGCATCGGGGTTTTTTGGGGCGCAAAAACTTTTGGGGTGCTTTCGGGTCCAGGGGTACACTGAGACATCCAGAGACTTTCGGCGGTAAGAGCGGACATGCTGGGCACATGTCCCGGCCTCGCAGACCTTGATGATGCAGTCGTAGCCGCCATTGATACGCATAGGGGTCACGGAGAAGTTCCTAGACGACGGCACCGGTCCACACCGGTCCGCTCGGGAACGAGGGAAGCTTCCTAAATTTGCTGCAAGCTGCAGCAGGATCCCCATGACCAAAGGAGCACCAAACAACTCCACGGCAACCTTCAGATAAAAAAAACCAAAGAAAAACATGGGCAAAAAATCACCCCCCTCGGTCGCCATCGCATCGGATTGGCGGCTTTGCTCATGCGGAACGTGGCTCCGTGGCTCTGTGCTTCCGACATCCGACATCCTCCAAGTCTTAAGGGTGCCGAGGGTCGTGTGGCAGCCGGCGCCGTTCCAGTCGCCCTCCTTCGCATATGGGCACAGACACGAACCAAGTCGCGCAAGGGGTCGCTGGAAGTGTGGGGACAGACGAGCGCTTTAGATGGCTTCAGGCATCAGAATGCAGGCCTTTTCAGGGACCTGACACCTCATGCCTTGATGGCGGCCTCCATGGCGCACAAGGGCCGCTTTGACCCAAAATCTCAGATCCTGGACATCCCTGCACCCCCACTGCAGCGATCCTTCGGTTTGGGGTCGAAGGAGCAAACGCAGCCGTGCTTCTCTGTGACGCGCAGCATGATGTAGCCTTTAGCTCGGACTTTGATTCTGGCGCTCTCTGCATGTGCATGAGACCACGATGCCCCGAAAGCCAGAAACGCACGCGCAGCCACGACATGGCGCTGGACAGTATGGCAACAGGTCCAGAAATGCCATGAGCATCGCCGGGACGTCCCTCTTCGTGACATACTGAAGAAAAACCATGCAAGCAAGCACTTTGGGATCACGGTTGTTGGAAAAGAGCTGAAGGCTGAACCTCCAAAACCCCCCAAACACTCCCTAAACACCTGGCCCCGAGGCCCAAGCGTGACATGGTCAGGTGGTCACCCATCTCGATACCGCGGCAAGGGCCAACCTAAACGTTGAACTCGTGGCATCTCGTGGTCATTTCAGAACCGGGATCTTTGGGGCATTCGGAAGTCGATGCCGTAATGGAGCAGTGGAAGGGGAGCCAATCTTGAGGATCTTCAGGTAGACACGTTGGGCAAAGGGCTCGGCAAGATTGTGCTCTGGATTCTCCCCCGGACCGCACTGCCACTTTGTTGGAGAGCCCCCTCTGACCCTTGCCGAGTGCTGGGCTTGGAACTCCCACTGACCGGGCATGACCTCATCGCGGCAGGACAGGAAGGAAAGCCCTCAAGAATCCACAGACTCAGCGCTGGTGTCCTTCCCTGGCCGGGCACCCTCCCTTTCACTCCCGAGCAGGTGCTCACAACCCTCCACGGCCCTCGACGAAGTCGCGCCCGCCTCGGCGTTGATGCCCGAGATCTTGACACCGGCCTGCCGGGACGTAGTGGCGGGGATTTCAAGCAGACAGGGGGATTCCAGTGTAGTGTGTCACGGAGCCTGCCAGCACGCAGCTTACACAGGCTTACAGCGTCTTCCCGTGACGCAGTGCGTTGCCCACCTCAAGGCACATCTTGTAGTGCTCATCTGCCACTGGACGGCCAATGGCCACGTTGTAGCCGGCACCTGGTCTTCGGTTCTTCTTCGATGAAATAAAGAACGGAAACAACTCTACCTTCCTCGGAACCCTTCTGCAGGCTCGAAGGGTAGGTTTCGCGGGACATGTTTTTGAACCTTCCTTCTCGGCGAAAACCGCCTCCAGGTGAGTGTTTAGGGGGGTCCGCCCAGTTTACCAGCACCTCAGATTCGGATTTACGGTCTCGGCTTTGTGGAGTTCGGCGGAGCTCCCGCCCAGTTTCGCGTACATCCCTCGCCCGCCTGCCGATTTGCACGGCGGTTTAACCGAAACCCGAATCCCTCAACCATGACAGCACACAGTGCGTACACCCATAAAGCCCTGAAGCCTTTACAGGCTTTTGGGCAGCTGGCTAGTCTGCTTTCTCGTGTGGAGTCTATTTGGGGATTGGGGAAAGTAAGCTAAAGCCAGGCTTTTGCATGCGTCCAGTTTCGGTGCATCACCGCTCTTTCGGGCTGGTGATTTAAGCTGAGGACGTTTCAGGCCAGATGGGTTTTGCAGCCTTGGCGGCGCTTGTGTTCGAACGGTTGGGTGCCACATGCGCCACCTACAGCCCTGAGTGAAAAGCCTCATGATACCGCAAACGATCCGCAAACGGAAGAGGGCCAGAACACCAAGAACATGCACCTGTGTAGTACGGTCCCTGCGGGGCCGGCTCGGAGCCGTCCGTGTTGAAGCCCAAAGGCATAGTCGGCTTCAAGCCCACCTTGCCTGCGCAGCACGATGCAGGGGCTCAGAGAATGTCGATGAGTTCCATAGGACCTCATCGGCTTAGGAGGGTGCCTGGCTTCATCAGGGTGTACTCCTGCTCGATACCGAACCAAGGGTCGAGCCTTTCTCGTCGCAGGCTGGAAACAAGAGCAAGCCGCAACACATCGCAACACCAAGCACGCTCGAAACACGCTCGCTGCATCCACTTCTGTGCCTGCATGCGTGCGTATTCTTGTCCAAAGCTGCATGCAAGCTAACCTTCATGAAGATGTCGGGCTTGGGGCTAAGGGTTCCTCCACTCTTGACGATGTTCAGCAAGCGCCAAGAACCGGAAACATAAGCGACCAAGCTCCCAGCGACTTGTACATGTCCATGGTCTCCGCGCAGGCCCTGGATCAAATGCTCGGCCCTCTTGCGCTAAGAGCAGATTCAAGGTGGCGTGGTCTTTCGGTGCAAAGCAAACGCCCCGGAACGCACCCTGCACTCGAACCAACCCCTCAACCCCAACCCCCAGCCCACAACCACCAAAAAAGACATCACAGAAGTCTCCCTGAGCCCGACATCTCGCTCGTGGCGGGCGACGCGCGGGTGTTGTTCTTGGCAGGCTTGTCGTCCCAGGCCTTCTCTGCGGGAGGTTCACGGCTCAGAATCTCTGGCAAATCCCTTCGCCCCGTTCACATGGCTTGTTAGTGCGTCTGTCTTGGAGGACTGAGAGGGTTGGGAGGGCTTCTGGCAGGTTCCTGGGAGGGAGTGGAGAAGGTACCCAGTCCCTGGTTCATCTGGTTCCCATCTGCGAAGCACGAGCAAGGACCAGCGAGGCAAGTGTAGAAAAACGGCCTGCCAGGCATCGGCCAGCACCATCACATGCGGGAAGCCCCGGAAGGGGTCGTTAAAAATCGCCCGAGGCTTCCTGGGCTCTTCGGGCTTCTTGGTTGCGGGGTCGCAGGGCTTCACGTGCTTTTTCTTTGGCTCCTCAAGCCCCCAACCTGAAGCCCGTGAGCCTTTGAGAGTTGTCTCCAAACCCCCAAGAGAAGAGCAAGCTCCCACTGTCCCAGGCGCAGGAGCACCTCCGAGTTGTGCCCATCGGCCTCAGACAAGACGGGCTGGTGAAAAAGCCTTGAAGGCTTTGAAGGGCTTCTGGGGGGGGGGGGGAATTGTTGCATTATCTGCCTGCCCAAAACGAATACTCAAAGGATGACTGACAAGGCTCCAAGACTTCAAGCGAGTGCAAACATCAAAGTTTGAGGGTTTGTGTACTGAGAGCTTGGGATGTCGCCTGGCCCGTGCTGCTTCCGTCGTAGTTCCACACCTTCAGGTCGGAGACCTCCCACGGGGGGATGAAAAGCAGGGGCTGAAACACGGGACTATGTCGGGGGGTCGAGTGTCTGTTTGGATGTGCGGGGGGGAAAGCTGGGGCGGCTCTGGGTCATTGGCTTTGATACTGGACTCCCACCTGGCCTTGACAGGTCGCGCGGTCATCGTCATGGTCTTGGATCGCGTGACGCCGTCCGCATCCAGCCACACGTACCTTGTGAGAGAGAAGCATTGGGGAAGCGGCAGCCCGTGCGGCAGGCGTTGCGTGCGGGATGTCGGGCTCAAACAGGGTCAGGGGCTGGCGTTCCCCGCACAAAGCGTCGCACAAGTCAGCACGAAAGCCCGCAGCAGCTCTATAAGGACACCGAGTTCCAGCAGCCTGAAGCCCCGAAACCCTTCAACCACGAAGCGCCTTCCACCCTCAAGCCCAAGACCTGACAGCCTTCCCCCTTCTAAAACAACACCTTCAGACACCCCTCCTCAAACAAACATTCCCCCAAACCACCTGTTTTCCGTGCCCCTGTACGCCCTGAAGGGCCCGGGCTCGGCGAGCACGCAGCGGCTGAAGGTACGGAGCTTGGCCAGGCCCGAGGCACCGGCGTCCTCCGCTTCTTTTAGGAGAGGGGGGAGTTGTTTGTTTAAGAGTCTAAGGAGGCTAAGGAGGGTTTCGTAACGGAGTTAAAAAGTTTAAGGAGTTGCTTGTGGCTCCGGGAGGTTTAGGTTCAAGATGGGGTGCCCCGCGGTTGGGCACATTTACTGGGATCTGGGGTGGGGGACAAGCCTGGGTCGCAGGTGGTTCTCGAAACCAAAACGGCCCCAAAGAAGGGAAGCACCGGACAGAGAGGCCCCGAAGCAATGCCGGCGTCCTTGCCAGTGCGGAGACCCTTCGGCGCCTCTGGCCAAGTGAAAGCTCTTTGGCGCTCAGCTGAAGCAACAAGGTACAGTAAAGGCTTTTGCTCGGAGACGCTTTCGCTCCCCACCTCGTCATCGTCCTTTGACTCCTGCGGAGGAACGGGCGGCGGGGGGGGGGGGCGGAGCGGAGGCGCAAGAGGAAGTCCTTGGGGAGGTTTGGGGGGGATTGAGGGTCGACAGCCGAAAGACGTCGAAAGCTTTCCAAAAAAAATCTCCAAAAGGCCTGGACAGTCGCCTCTTCATGCCTCTTCCCCGACTCTTCCCTGACTCTCGGCTCCTTCTTCGGCTTTGACGGTGCGGTCTTTGCCTCGCCCAAAAGCCCGCAAGGGCCGGGAAGGCTCTGCTTGCTTCATTCAGACTCCAAGCTTCGACGATGACATGGCGGCGGCGAACTTATGGACAGCCAAGCGGGGTGCCTTAGCCGTAGCCTTCGCCTTGGCCTTCGCCTTGGGCTCGGGCTTGGCCTCCTGAGCACCGGGCTTCGTAAAGGGGTCGCAGGAGTGTGTGGCGATATATAAGTCTAAGTGATGTCGGGCCTCCGGTTTGCAAGCTTCGAAGCCGCTTGGGACATGCTGGCTTTACAGGGCTTACGGCTAAAGCCAGGGGCAGCGGGAGCCACGTGGAAGGCTGCACGCTCACCCAGCTTAGGACTGGAGGCAATCCCCACCGATCCCGTCGATCCCTACAGCGATCTGCACCGATCCCCAGCGATCTGCACCGATCTGCACCGATCTGCACCGATCCCAGTCCTTCGAGGGCTTGGTCGCCTTGCCCTTGCTCTGTCGAACTTTGACAGGCTTGCAGTGGTTGTCCCAGTACTCCTTGCAGAGGCTGTCGCAGGGCTGTCTAGCGGGGCTCCGGTTGCCGCAGGGATTTTTGTTTGGAGAGGGTTGGGAGGTGCAGATCCCGGAGCTCAAACACCCAACAACTCCGGAGCCCCATGGAGCCCTGCCATGCCCCCAAACTCCCGGCCTCCAGTTCCCTCTTCTTGTACGTCCTGCGCAAGGCGCGGGGCCAAGCATCGGCAATATCGGCTCCAAGGCTTCTAGCGGGTTCGGGCTCGTCTCCCTCGTCTCCCTCGTCTCCCTCGTCTCCCTCGTCTCCCTCCCCCTCCCCCAGCGGGGTCCCCTTGTAGTGCGCCATGAGCTCCTGCCACGTGGACATGAGCCGAGGGGAGCATCATGCACTTAAGGGTTCTTGAGCTTCTGCAAGTTGCTCCGGAAGTTGCCCGGATGGCCCCAGTTCTCAACCATCAGCTTCAGGTAGCAGGCTTGGAGCCTACGGCTTACAGCTTACAGTACCAACTGGGGCCTTCAGCGTGTACGCCTCGCCGGTCGCTGGATCGACTTTCTTCTCGGCCATGATTGCCTCAGAAAAGTGCGGAACTTGATATTTATACCCCTGCAGACGGTCGCGACAGCACTTCTGAGAAGCGTGGATGCTCGAGAGCTTTAAGCCGGGGCCCTGGCAACAAGGCTTCGAAGGATTGCTTTCCAGGCTCTGATCGGGAGGCTGTCCACGCCAGTTGCGGAAGTTAGGCTCGAGCTCCAACAGCTGCGTGTGGCGAGGCAAGTCACATCCTACTGAAGACATGCACGGCTCACCACATCAATGCATCACCCACACATACCCGCACTTTGCATTTGCAGCTACTTTGTGGCTCCACTTTCTGAGAAGCCAAGCAGCAAAGATGCACCCGCGGACCTCGATCTCGGTGTCCAGGACAGCATCTTCCTGGCGTAATCGCGTCCATCCCCAACCCCTACTCCGAAAGACATCTTGCTTCAGAGTTTACTGATGTTCACTGATGTTCACTATCTACGGCGCCGAAGGACCCACACAACATCTGGCTGAACCCTCAGCTTCCAGAGCTCGGTGTTGCGGGTCAAAAGCTGCATGAGGCCTCGTGCGTTTGTCTGGTTTGGTCTTGGGCTAGAACAGTGTATTTCGCGCTCTGGACATCCTTGCCTCCAAGCCCATGAGCCCTTCAACAGCTCTCCATGGCGAAGCACATGAGCGGTGAGCTGGGATGCAGTGCAACATCTTGCAGCTTTCCCTGCGACGCAAATGCTGACTCGGACCAGGTCATCTGCATTGTCAGCACATATCCATGTTTGGTGGACGTGGCAGACGAGGCGCTGGGCCTAGCGGCAAAGAGGTCAAAGGAATGCGATGTAGTAGCACCGGCCATGTGAAGACTGCTCCAGAAAGCACAAGCTTCAGGGCTCCCTGGCTCCGAAACGGCAGCAAAGGCCTAATGGCCTGCGGACTTTTCTCAGCAAGCAGTTTCTATGGCTTCGTAGTCAAAGCGATAGCACTCGCGAATGAGACCTCGCTTCCTGCCAGTGGCATGCGCGCGAAAAAGCGTCACAAAATGTAGTTCCTCTGGCTTGCAACATAAGGACGTGTTTGCAAAACCAAGGCTTACGAAGAACGCCCTATACAACTTACTTCCATCACACATCAATGCCGCATCCCACACGGCGCGCAAACTCCCAAACCTATAGCGCTCCCAGCACAATAGGCGGCAAGTCCTACACTTGTTTACACAGTACAATTTGACAAATCCTTGCCGGAGGCTGCAGAGTCATGTACAAGCGCCGTCAGGCAGCTCTGCAGTCCCCGGTCCGGACAAAAGGCAGCAGTGGAGGCCAGAAAAGCTGAGGAACGTTTCCATCGAAAGGGAGCGGAGGGGGGTGCAACCGCCGAGATGTTTATTCCAGCTAGTGCCGCGACCGCGGAACTTTGCTCCTTACAAGTAGCACAGGAAGGAGTCAAAAGTGCGGACGCCCCTGCTGCTGCTCACTTCGGGCATCTCACGACGCCTTGCCCAAGTGTGCACTCAGAGAGCTGCGCTTCAAAGGCCCCTGAGGCGCCTCAAAACACACGCTGGAGAGTGCAGTAGGCATGTACGGGGGCACCGCTAGCTGATGTCGCCCCACTTGGTCCCTTCGGAAGAACTTCTTCTGCGCAACACTAGCTGTTACTGCCTCACCCACCCCTGACCCCCACTTGCTCAACTTGGCCCACTTGTCACATGCGCCAATTGCACTACTTGCCGCCCACTTGCCACGATTGCATCGGAAGAAGAGGTGAGCAACCCCCTGGGACCGCTCACTACTTGCCGTACTTGCCCACTTGCCCCGCTTGCCCCACTTGCCCCACTTGTCCCACTTGCCCTGCTTGCCGAACTTCCCGAGCCGAAAAAGATCTGCTCTTCCCGACCCCCAAGTGAGGCCAAGTTGGGGAGTGGTTCTGAGATGTGCCCACAATGGAACGGTTCAGAAACTGCTGGCAATACAAAATGCGTCCTCTCTACACCTCATCCTTGGCACAGGAGCTTCTTGATGTTCCAGCTCTAGCTTCCGTTCGTAACTAGAGGAGCTTCTGCTTTGCAGCGAAGTGTATATCTGTATATCCATTGACCGGCCCTGGAACCTCGATGCGCTTCAGGCTCTGAACATCCCAAACCCGCCAGCGTTTCAAACTCCCCGGAAGACACGCACATCCCCACACCCATGCCTTACGATCCGGCTCAGGACCTGAGAACTCCACAACCCCCACAGAAGCCCCCAGTAGCGAGCACAACGGGTCAGAAAGAAAAGGGCCCGCGTGGCCAAGGCGCGGCAAGACCCGTCGGCCCAAATCTTCACTTGTTGGCCGCGGCAATGGCTTTGCACCTCGAGGGCTGTCGTTTCGGAACTCTTCCGCCCTCTCTTGATCTACGGCAAAGCGCCTAGCCCCAAAAGAGCTCGGGTCCAGAATTCGGGTGGCCCTTAAGCTCTGCGAGCTACGTTCCCACCCCCTGCGGGGCACTTCTTCAAGCACTCGCCGGCGTCCAGATCCTGTCACGATTCACAAGGTATGCACATTGAGGATTCGAGGGGCCCGGCCAGAAAGGATAGCATGAAGGCTGACACATCTGCGAAAGTTGAATAACCCTCAGACCCGAACTAAACCGGAAACGGCTCCGGTCCTCCAGCATGTCAAACACAGACTTCTTGCCGCCCTCGAACTCGACGGCCGGATCGTCGAACCTCTTAAGGCCCCAAACCCGACTCTGCAGTTGGCTTTCGGACCTCCACCGAGCGTCCCGGCCACTCCCTTGCCATCTTCATGCTGACACCGCTGGCCAGAAGCGCCTGGAAGGCGGGGGGCTTTTGGCGGCCGAGAAGGCTTAAACCCGTCAGTCTTAAAATTACAGTGAAACCACGGTACAAGAAAACCATTGTGCAAGAAACTAAGCCTCTAGATCCGGACACTTTTGGCCGCTTTGCGGTTCCCGTTTAGCTAAGAAACTTGGGGTGCCCTAGCGTATGACACTGGATGTGTTGCCAGAGCCACGTTTCAAGAAACTTTGTTACTGAAAAAGTTATGTTTAAGATACGATTTTTGGAACTTTGTGGTTCATGATCATTTACGGAATATACACGATTTCTCTTCGATTTTATGAAACTTTAATGAGTTTGTTCTTAACAGGTACGTTTCTCATCGACTTTATGTTTTTTTATGGCCAGTTTTGTGCAAACTTTAGGATTTGGTCCGTTTTGTATGTTTCTCTGATGACTCTAATGAAAATGATATACGAAATTGACGAAAATCAAAACAGTTTTGACACTTTCATAATCGACGAAAAAAAGAAAATAGAATCAGTTTGTCACAAAACGAGTCATAAATTTTGCATGACATCGACGAGAATCATAACTTCTTCATAAAGGAATCAAAGATCCAACAATCCAAGAACTATCTCACATCATGCAATATTCGTACTCAACACATATTTGGCAGCGCGCTCTCTGTGGCCGCCCCGGGGCCCTAACCCTAGTGCGGGGTGGCCCAGTTTCTTGGAAGAAGCCAGAAATCGCTTATATTCCCACGTGATTCACGCGATTTACCACACACGAAGAGCTTCGCTTGAAGACTGCAGGGGGATTTGCGTCCGAGACGATCGATTAGAAGGGCGCCGCCTTACTCGCTAAAGCACTCAACCCTCTGGCCCGAAGAACCCGATGAATTCGAAATTCAGGCTGGGCTGCAAGCTGCTGGAAATGGACTCCCGCACTGCGGCGCCGGCGGCGCCCCTCCCTCTGCAAACCGCTGGAGTGACATTCTAGGGATGAAAAGTCTTCAAACATGACTCCCCCCCCTCCCCCCGCCCCCCCAAACAGCGGGGGGGTCACATTGGATGAAAAGTCTTAAAACGTGACTCCCCCGAGTTGCTGGCCTCCCCCCGGCCTGCGCCAGGCAGGGGAGTCACACTCTAGGACTTTTCAGCATTGGAATGTAACTCCCGTGCCTTTGGAGTCCATCCCACCCCCCAGTAGTGAAGTTGCCGCGGCGGTACCCAATCGCGACGTCAAAGACAATCGTGGAGTTGCCACTTTAGCTCCGCCAACCCCTGCCAGAAGAGGCAAAGGCTGACGTCACGTGCTGGCGGCGAACCCGTATTGAAGTGTTGGCAACATCGGCTTGGCCGGCGTTCCCGAAGGCCTAGCTTTGAGGCAGTTCATAGAAACACACAGACCAAAGCTGACTTTAGCTCACTCACTGGTGGCGAAACCTGCGTCCCAGCCGCTTTGGGGATCGATGTGTGGCATGCGCGGGGGCACGTCGTCCGCGCAGACCTGGCCGCCGGTTGGCACCTTGGCTGGAAAGTAAGACGCCTGCGACCTGCCACTCAACATGCCTGATCGCCCCAGAGGAAATATGTCACACGTTCGACGAAAACTATCAACCAAATTCTGGCATCACTAGGCCCACACGTGACCAAAAATGCTATATGTAGACCTGAAACGCTGCAGTAACTTACACAAAATCAACACTCCAACCGCAGCAAAAAAAAGCAACATCGGTCAGGCCGGTCAAGCTGAACATTGCTGCTCAAGTGCTCCAAATCTATCAGTAGATTAACGGCCGACAGCCATGGCGAGCCGACTGTCACGCAAACGAAAGGCGGCCTGCCACGATGCACTCGACAAACTCGTCTTTCAAGCAGCTTGAGCTAAAGACCCATATATATCGGCGCATGAGCCGACAGGAAACCACAACGAGAAGATGCCCCCCGTCCCCGCTCGCAGCAGTCCAAGACTGAGATTCACTTTGCCGGCCAATCCAGCTGATGCCATGATACCCAAGACTACTTCAAGATCAACAGACGCCGGCTTCGTCACGTGATCAACCTCATCCACATGCACAAACTGGCCATCAAGAGGTCACCAGCCCAAAAAACATCGCCCGAGTTGTAGATATAGGCAGCCCCCCCGTCCTGAAGCCCACCACCGTCCCGACACACTGCAGGCTGGATCGGATCGTCTTCGAGACATCACGCGCGGATCTCGGCCAGAGAAGATACGCGTCAAGCC